AATTTAAAGTGTTCAATTACTCATAACACAGAGAAAAAAAAAGTAAGTAAATAAACACATCAATTCTAAGCTAGCAAATAACATGTAGTGAATACTCGAAAATCTGGCACATAGAAAAAAGAAAACACCGGCCAAGCCTAAGACTAGAGTTGGTTGTCCTAGCAAATCATCTAGAGTGGGTGCAAAGGTTGTGTGGTTTGGATATGTCCTAGGTAGGGTAATTAGTTAAAGTTGTTTAAGGATTTGATTGGTTAAAAGTCTTGATGGAAGATATTGATTAAAATTTAAGTATTAATTTTTTAAAATTAATTTTAGGATCAATTTTAATTGTTTGTTGGACACCACCTTAACTTCTCACCGAGGCTGTGAAGTTTATTTCACCGTCCTTGGGGCTAATTTAATGGCCTCGTAGGCCTGGGTTACTTAGTGATACCCGGTATAATTAAGTGTCTTAAGTTGATTAAAGTTTAAAAGTTAATAAATTTTAATTAAGGTTGGTTGATTACTGGTTTTAAGGTTGATTAAACATTTATAAGTTTTAAAGTAACTTTTTATGTTTTTTGAAATTTTTATGTTAAATTTTTTTTTTTATTAAAGTTAAATTCTAAAAAGTTAGTATTTTATTAAAATATTAGATCCTAAGATGAGTTGTTAGACACGAAGCTTGCTGGATTTAGGTTTTTTGACATTTAGTTATGTTGGTTTGAAGATTTGACTTGGATTTTGACTTAAGATGTGACAAAAAGTTGATTTTTTTTTGAATTTGAATGATTTCTGGAAATTGAATATTTTTAATAAATATTAGACTTAATTATGAGTTGAATTCCTTTGATTTTGTTCATTTTGGAATTTTCTTAAATTAGTTAAGAATTTTCAAAGTTTGATAATTTATTGAATTTTTAAATGATTTAATGAATGGCCCATTTTTACGGTTTTGCTCCAAATGAACTCTCAAGTCCTTGAAATCAACTCCAAAGATCGGAAATGACCTAAGAAGAGATTCCCAAGTGTTTGGAAATTTTCTTAATTTTTAAATTATTTTTAATTAATTAATTATTAAATTTAAATAAAAATTAATTTAAGATACAAATTGTTGTCAACTCAAAGGGATTTTATTTTTCATTGATTAAGGTTTGAATTCTGGTCAGTTTGAGGTATTGTTTGTATTTTTTTGGATATAAAATTGATTTATTAGAATTTTTACAAGTTTTAAAGCTTAATTAAAGGGTTTATTTTGACTTGTTTAATTTTTTCACCTGATGACCTCCAATTTGGTGAGATTAAAACTAAGGTTTATAATATTACTAAGTTTAATGTTGTCAAGTTTCACCCCTATTGGGTGTGTGTGGAATTTCCTAGGATTTTTCTAAGTTGACTAGACCTTATCCTTAATTATTATTCCTATGTGGCATTAGTGTTCAATTAGGCTTAAATCTCTGTTCACCTAACCCTTAGACCTGTACAAGCATACCACAAAAAGAAGAAAGCCTAAAACTACATGCATAAGGTGAAATGAATTTTCCATTATTTGGGTCAAAATTTGACCCATATGATAGAAAATTCTACAGAGCTCAATCATGTACTGAATTAGGGCAAGAAAAATCACAGAACATAGAAAATATACTGTGATTAGCTCCTGCCAAAATTGAATCCAAATGGATCACAATTAAATGTGTAAATAAATAATGATCTAATTTAATATTAATTAAATAAATCCTGGAACATATATTAAAACTAAATGAAATTATTTTTATGTGTTAAAGCTCTTTACCCTGAATCCATAAAGGTATTGAATGCAAAAGTTAGATGAAAAATGAATTTTCTATGGATTTCAGAAGTTTATGATCATTTAAATAATTTTTAAAAACATTCTGGTCAAATTGGGCCGCTTGTGCCGCCAATCCAATGATTGGTAATGATTGGAAATGCGGCACCGCATCGCCGTGTCTGGGATACCTGTCAAGTAGGGAGCATATCACTTAAACACGTCGGCTATTCATAATAGCCATTGGATCGGCCCTGATTTGCGTGGAGGGCTATAATGTCGCCACATCACCGCGTGGAAAGGTCATGAGACCCAGATTCGAATCTCAGGTTGAACACACGCGTATTGAACTTATCTGGACCATCTGATCGTCGATCAGACGGTCCAGAACTTCAAATAAATAATAATTCAGTAATTGAATAAAACTTCAAATGCCCATATCTCCCTAAATACTCAAACAAAATTAGTGAAATTTGAAACATAGATTGATGGTAGCCTAATCTTACAATAACTGGAGTTCGGATGCTCCGTACATTGTATATTTACTACAGTTTCAAATTTAAATTTAAACTTAAAACTTAAAACTTACAATCTAGCTAGTGGATTTTTGACTTCTTGGGCTTGTTGAAAAGCTGAAGATGTCATCTTCAACTTTGATGAAGACTCCAAGATCTGGATTCTGTCGGATTTAAAGTTATTCTTGAAATCCACTGATTCTCTCTCTAGATCATCTGGCTTCTCGAATTAGTGTTTGGAAGCCACGAACTGGTGGGGGAAGGCTTGGAAGAACTAGGGAAATGTTTGGAGAAGTTTTTGGAGAGTTTTTGGGGGCTGGAATAGCTCTGGAGGAGAGGGATTGAGTGAGAGTGTGCTAAGGGGAGAATGATGGCTCTTGTGAGGGTTTTGCCCTATTCAATCTTCCATTGTTTGAATGGAGGACTGGGATCCATTTGGATGGGCTTTAGGATGCTGCCATTTGTGTGAGAAAGGAACAAGAAAGAGTATTATTCACTGAATAGTTTAATGCACCTAGGTACAAGCTATATATAGAGATAGGAAATTACAGAGAGATAAGTAGCACCAATGCCATCGATACACGTGTACATCAGCTTTGTTTATTTGTTCTTGTTTTCATTCTCTATTATCCCCGGCAAACTGATGAGTCCTGAGCTACCGTCAGTTTGGTTCGTAGTTGTTGAAATGACTGGTCGAAAGAGGTTTTGTCAATATATCAGCAATATGAGAATGGAGAAAAAGGATTCATATAGCAAACCTCATATAGTAGGATAAAGGCTTGATGATGATGATGATGTTATTGTTAATAAAAAAATAGATTTCTTTCTTAAAAAAAATCCAATTTCATTCATTATATTCCATAAGGAAATCTAATTTCTTTAACTATCCTATGAGAAGGAATTCTTCAAACACATTTTGCTATTTTAAGGCAACATAATTGAACCAGAGCAAGGACAAGGGAAAGACATCCTAGGTGGAAAGGCCTCTTGGTCCCCACTTGAGCATGGGAGGATTAAGAGCCATTTGATTAAAATCTGAGGGCTGGAGAGGATCCTAGTGAAGGTTCTAGAGTGCCTTAATACTAGTGGAGGGGTTTAAGATAGAAGGGATTAAGCTTAACATGGATTTTGACCATATTTGACCCCTCCAAACCAATTATTTGACCATTTGACTAGTCAAATAGTCAAAAGGAGTGAGGTGGCATCCAAGGTGGCTTCAAGCATTGATGAAATTCTTTGGGTTTAGTGCATGAAGAAAAGGATCAATGTTTAATAGGGTTAACCATTTAAAAGCCCTTTAGAGAGGTTTGTTGACTATGTTGACCAGTCAACTAACCCTCTTGACTGCTGAGGTGGCAGTAAAGGGTGTATTAAATGTTGATTTAAATTCCTTGAAAGGGAGTTTGATATTTTAAATGGGTTGAAAAAACCCATTCAAAGCCTTAAGGGGTATTTGGGTCAACCTAGGTTGACTTGGTCAACCAGGTTTTGACCTAGTGGGTGAGTTTAGGCTGGACATGTTTAATTTGATATTTGGAGCCTGGTGGATGTATTTTTTGGGTTTAAATAGGTCATTAGGATCAAATGGGCCTATTTGGGCCCTTAATGGGCCATTGGGTCAACACTGGTTGATTTGGTCAACCAAGTGGATCCAGGGTTTGGAAATGGATTCAATAAATTTGAAATGACATTTGAAGACCAATGAGGATGGTCCTCAGGTCTAAGGAGGTCAATTCAGTCAAAATGCTTGTTTTAACCCTTAAGGGCCTGTTTGGTCAACCTAGGTTGACTTGGTCAACTAGGTTGATCTAGGGTCTGGGTTTGGGTCCAACAATTGTGGTTTGATGTTTGAGACTTGCTGGAAGTGGTTCCAAGCAATTTGGAGTTCGTTTGATTTGAAATGGGTATTTTGGTTAAAAGGTGTTGACTTGGTCAACCAAGCTTGATCAGGGTCAAGGCTTAAGTCCATTGCACTCCTAATGGTGGTTAGGATGCATCAGAAGAGGTTCTAGGATTTGATTTGAAAAGGGCACATTGAAGTCTGGAGAAAACTTTAAAATTGCCCTTAAGGGGCATTTTGGTCATTTTGATCTCTAGTCAACTAGGGGTCAAAGTGGGTCCATCAAAATGTAGTTTAATGATCAATGGGTAAGGATTAAGGGTTTGGAAGTAATTAGAGGCTTTGGAGAAAGCTCTAAGGTCAGGATCTACTAGGTAGCAAGTCCAATGGCATAGGCCATAAATATTTGAAGATTTTACAGCCTTTGGATTTTGATTTATTTTCTAGGGTTAGAAACCTCAGAACGGTCTCAAATTTGGAGGGTTTTTTCTATAGACTTATCCTATCAATATGAAATTGATAAACTTTGAATCAGACGTCAATTGATTGGGAAGTGTTTAAAAATTCAATGGAAAAGGCTTTCAGGACTTAGCCTTTTACCTTTGAATTTTGGTCAAGATTTTAGGATTTGAATTATGTTTTGAGTCTGGATGATTGGACTTGAATTATCCATATCATTTATGATCATTTGGATGATTATAAGTGATAGGATAGGGTCGAACTAGATCAAAGGTAGGATATAAGTTTGAACTGGAGATTAAGGTCTGGATAGGTTTA